AATTGTATTTAGCTCAAATCACAGAGTTAATTGATAAATTAGAAAAACCATATATTAAATTGTTAATTTGCAAAATATCAATCCTTCATATGAAACCGGACTGTTCCTTTTGCAAATATCAATCCACTGGCTGACATTTCATTGTTCATGAGTTTTCATGCAAATTCCATTGTGTTCCCGCTCTTCCTTTCTTGATCTTCCGATATCTTCTGCTGCCAGACATTACGATTTTAACTCGCGTCATATACTACTCATTATATCGATATAAGTAGTGCGCACCACACCTCTAGTGCTGATTAAGTGAGTGGTATGCAGCGTTTTTGGATATTTTTCTATACATTCAGTGGGTGGATGCTGCATGTAAAAGTGTAGTTATCACCTGATATCACATTTGCTATATATAGTAATACAAACTATGCAGGAAATTTGTGCTCTGATATGATTACTGACCAACGAGTTTCCTGCTCTGTGCAGAACAACACACTGGTTTGGTTTTATCGATTTAGTCTTGTATTGTTGAGCTAATTTCTGCGTTCAGGCCAAATGTTACAAATTTAGCAGTTGCAATGTATTTTGTACGCAACCCAATGACTTACTCAGCAGAAAAAATAAATCGCCTGCGACCTATGCGACAGCATATACACTGCTAGCATGAAAACAGATGTTGACACTGTTTCATTAAGTAAATAGTTGTAAAATGAATCAGTTAGATAATATAATAAAACTTCATCCGTGTGAACTGAGTCTCAAAAATCCACGTAGTGAATGCTTATTTCAGAATAAGTGAGAATATATTTGCGATGATATTCGCCCTCAAAAAGTGTACAGGACTGCAGCCAGCTTCTATTTCAATAGCCTCCAACTCCTTGTAGGTATATCCGTAGAACTGCCTCTCTTACTTGTTTATCTGACAGTTATTACTGTCTCAGTCGTAGTCTTCGATTTTCCGATTATGTTACTCCGAAATATATGGTTGTGCGTCGTCTTGGTCAACATTAGTAATATGAAAACTAATAGAATTTTCAAAGAATGACTTCGAATCGACTTATGCTTAAATATCATTCGGAGCAAGAATAATTTATGTTATCACAACCAATCACAATCATGAAATTAACGTTTTCTCAATGACCATCCGGTATCTGATTTGATTGAAGCGATGATCTAGTCAGACTATGCTTTTTCTTTTAGAGAAAATAACTGCTCGTTAACGTGGGAAACGTAATAGTGTTACAAAGCCGTAGACTCTTAAATGCGAAAACTCGGTAACCCCAACTAGCCCAATATTCTCCCCAAATCTAAAGGTGTGGATTGATATACAAACTTGGATCTGTTTTCCGTGTACAACTCCGGTTGAAGCGCAGGGAATAAATATGGATGACCTTGTTAAAGTATATCTTCAACAATGTGATTTGAGTCGTTTGCTCAAATAGGAAAAATCGCACACTTATTGCAGTGACACCTGTAACTTCACATTATGACTACCTGCTGTCACAGGACAAGCAGAGTGTTGACATTCACTTGGTTTTTTGATACATTTTATTGTATTAGTTCTGTCTTAACAGCACCTGGTCGACGGAAGTTTCATTTCAGTCGGCCTTCAGTTTTTGTACCAACCATGTTGATTCGCAGCTCTTTGACAATGACTTCACCATTACCTTAAACCAATCTTTCATTATCTAAATTGACGTACTGTTACGTTCACTTTTATCGTTCTCTTTCGTTATTAAATCATGCTATATCTCCTTCAACTTTTTTAAATTCCCGCAGCAAAAGCTTCCAACTACTAAGTCGAACACAAGGATAAACCAGAATGTCCGGAGACAAACATATAAGTAGACGTGTTCAGAAGTGGAATAAAACAAATACATCCAAAAACAGCTAAATTATTGAGTCAATAAAACAATTTTTAATCAGTTAAATATCGTCACTTACCCCGTGACAGGTACATTTCTGTTTACTGGGAACACCTGAAACAAAGAGTATTTACGATTCTTGACATTTTTCTACTTGTTACTTTTTAGACCTGACTATAGGGCTTTGAGTAACGTATGATTTTAATTGAATGTGCTCGAAAATCCTCCATGTATGTAATCCATAGATTAAAAGCGTTTTCTCTTCGTGAGGACTGCATCTTCAATTGCCTTTTGTATTTAAGCGCATAACAAATACATTTTTCGCAGTTATCGTGTTCTTGTAGAGTTTACGGACTTTATAATGGACTAAGATTCTGATGTTGTAGGGATTTTCGACAGCTGATTCATCTTTATTTTACCTAACACAAATTTTGTTGGTTGCTTTTCGTGTATTAACTCTTTTTAGCTGATTGCTCACAGAACGAATTGAACCAACATATCCCTTGTATTGACAAAGAGGATTGTTCTTTGAAAGATAGAAGTTTTTTCAAGTACGACGATCGGAGCCTTCTATGTGTAATCCTGATTGTTATATATGCCAATTAGATAATGCATTGTACAGGTATATTTAGTTTCGTTTGTACCTATATTTTTTCTAACTATGCCTCTTTTGTTACTTTTTCTCTCCTTATCATGTCTTGACCTTTATCATAGTCTATGTGAACTCGAAAGAGAGTCACTGAAAAAACAGACGGCGTAAATACCTTAAAACCCCGTGAAGTTGGAATTTCGCAAGAAGAGCAAACTGATTTATGTAGTAGGCTAGAACCGTGTTCTTTGCGTCTAAAGACATATCTTTGTCCTCTAACGGAAGATTAGCTTGTAATTATTGATATTTTTACAATCGACATTTTTGTAGCTCCGAAAACATAATTTAGCCATATATAATCTGCCTCCTAAAGCTGTTTAGGTACGCTGTGTAATTTATACCCAGTACTTACTTTACGTTCTAGCGATATTATTCAAAATATATGTCTAGAGAATTGGGTCTTACAGACTGAACTTCGGAACCAAAGCATCTACAGGTAGTGCGACAGCAACCCATGGTAAACGAGTTGTACTTGTGCTCCCCCAAGTCAAAGTTGTGCCATCAAATTTCAAAAATTCTCCGAAAAGGTTGTAAAAGATGGTTTCTCAAATTTTTACTTACATTTGACGAATTTAGGTGCCTGTTGGAATATTCGTCCAAAGAGTAGGTGTACGCTTCAAATCGTTCTATTTTGAAGCCTGTACAGACTACAATAAACCACTGTATACTGGTGATTTCCAATGGTCACTTGTATAACATGATGTGTAGTCAATAAAAATGACCAAATTGTCGATGATCGGACTCTGAGAATTGGCAAACATGGTGAGACTGAAAACTAAGGACGAACTTGAGTGATTCTTAGAATAACGATAGGAAATTTTCAAATCGTCATATAGGAATATTTAAAAGCAAACAGATATAAAATACATGACAGACCACCTTAACCTTGTGAATTTTAAGGAAAATTGGGGATTATTGAGATGGCGCAATACTTCATAAACAAAAACACGTAGTCCAAGTTGGCGTCTTGTGTGTTCGAGTGGAATTCGTCCACTCATATGATTTCAAAGAGCCCCTGCATTATGAATCCTCACAGTTTGCATTGAAAACCCTAACCATGAGATTGAACAGTAATTCCGAACGACCCTAGTCCTTTTATGTCAAACAAGAGACAACAAATCTTAGTGACGTACTACACTGAGATAAGGGCCTAGGATATAGAACCTAAGATTCATGCATTGTAGCTCATGCCAGTTTGTGGTAAAAAAAAAGCTATAGCCTCAAGCCTTAGTGCCATATTTTAGCACTACTTCCAGGGCTCAGTACTAGGACCTCTCCTCTTCCTGATTTATATAAATGATCTCCCTCAACAGGTAACGTCAGACATATTGCTCTTTGCCGATGACGTGAAACTTTGGAGAGAGATACGCAACCGAGAGGAAATACAGGCACTTCAGGGGGATCTGACTCGACTTCAAAGTTGGGCAGATGATAACGAACTTACCTTTAACACTTCAAAGTGTAAAGTAGTCCATCTGCGACACGTCGCAGATTACAGTTACAACTTGGGAAACTCCTCTCTAGTAGTATCCCGAGTCGAAAAAGATTTAGGAGTCCTGGTGCCCTACGACTTAAAGTCTTACGCCAACTGTGACAGAAATGCCTTTCGAGCAAACCTGGCACTGGTAACATTGAAGCGCATTTTTGGTCAGTTTGACGGGAGAACTTTCCACATAATCTTCAATAGTTTCATTCGTCCCCATTTAGAGTACGGGAACATAGTATTCCCTCCTACACTCCAAAAGGATAGGGACACTCTGAAGCGTATCCAACGGCGAGCCACGAAATCAGTTCGGGGACTCAAATTTAAACCTTACGATGAGCGCCTTCAATCACTTAACCTTTACCCATTAGAGTATAGGCGTCTTAGAGGTGACCTTCTTATGACTTACAGCATCCTTAACACACCTAGACATCCTCTTAAACACCTACTTAAGCTTAGTCCCAACACTAACCTAAGGGGTAACACCCAGAAACTGGAAATACAACATAGTAGAACGGACTGCAGACACAATTTCTACTCCTTAAGAGTTGTCAAATGCTGGAATTCGCTGCCAGCTGAGCTAGTCCAAGTAACTTCCCAGGAGTCCTTTAAGAGGCGACTTGATCCATTCTTAAGGACTAAGGATAGTATCCTACTATGATTTACCAATTCATTTTCTTTCTCTTTTATCGTTAAAATACCTAGGTTCTTGCCTGGAGGTATTGGTGATCCCCTGATACTAGACACGGAAGCCTTTTAAGCGAAAGCTTCTTCTATTCCGTCCACAACCATTTGAACCATTTGAACCATTTACTTTTTAACCCTATTTTGTTAAACGCTCAGTGTCCTTGGGGTGATTCAAAGAAAACTAGTTCCAATGGAATATTTCAGCTTCGTTGTCAACACTTCTTATATCGTGTAATTTTATTACTATTTTATTTGAAAAAGTTCGCATGTGAATACTCTTTTGGTTGTTGTTGACATTGCTCAAGGTCATCAAGATGCTTTACATATTCTGGAGGTAAATTTAAATAAGACACTCGGGCTTAGTATTGGTGTTGCAGTAGACACCTAAGGATTGATAGTCCTATTTTACCTGGCAAATCTCACCCGCATACTACTTGAGCTGTCTTAATATGCAAAACATGGCTTTTTCAACCGTTTGAATTTAAATGTGTAGTCCGATTTGAGCAAAATCATTTCTTTGTATTCTATACATCAAAATCAGATCACCTCTTTCTGAAATAGAACAAAGTAAAAGAATCTATCTTCTCATACACAGAGTGGCTTGAAAAGCTAGACTTCTTTACTCTTTTCTGCCGCTGATCAAGAGGTCTGATTTTTGTGTACACTTAGGAATGGTTTTGGACCTGCTATATCTTTTTTTCTTCCTACGGGATTAGGAAAACTTAGAAGATATAAAAGGCGAGTATGATAACCAAGAATGGACGAAATAATCGCAGAATACAGGTTTTCAGAATGAAGTGTCCGCCCCTACGATTGACTCACAACAAAAGACTAGACACTAAAAAGTTTACTAGAAAAAGACTAAGAGACCGCATGCTTTCCGTCCTAGTAGCAAAAATCTGGAGCTGAACCAGTGAAACTATGATGTGATCAATATATTTGTTTTCGAACTAACACAGCTAAATTTCGTTTAAGTGGCTGACACCAGCTTTTTACATCGGTTTACAGTAAATGCTTCACGAGTTAGATTTAATCCTTCCCACATCCTAAAAGCACTCATATACAAGCACTTAAGATTATTCTCGCTTCCAAAACTCAATATAGGTCAAGTTTTGAAGAATACATGTACCGGTTCAGCTGAGTTCAAAGTGCTAACGCTTAAGCATGAGTCAATCTGCCATCGATAGTTCAAAGTTGATGTGAAAATAGGTTGTAAAGTTGTTATTTCATCCTGAAAAGGTCTCGTAGCATGCACATCCTTCGTTTAATATACAAGAAAACATCCACGATAGTACTTTTCCTACATGCTTTTTCCAGAAAACTTGATGTAACTGTATACATACTCTACTCTAGTTTCGTGTTGCCATAAATTACGCGTAACCTCACCATTCTGCAAGTAACGAGAACGTTTGGTGGTCATTCATTTGTTTTTAATACACATTGTCAATACAAAACTGATTAACCACTAAGAAGGATTTGGGTATGGAAATTTAACTTGTCTATATTGATAGATTATCTCAAATACTTAAGTTTTGTGTTAAGTATCGAGGCCCAGTGTAAAATTACTAGAACTAGATTGTTAAGCACGACCTATGTCTTCAGGTAGTTCAGAAGTTTCGATAATGTGTCATCTGTAAATACAACAGAACTTCGCTAGTATTCTCATTATTTAAGCCTCTCAATATCTTAAAAATGTTTACTAGCAAATCTAATGTTTTTTGTGTCTAGTAAAGGATCTTATGTTATGTTCTTTTCTTATATTGGATTCTTTTATCATCTAAGTTAACCATCATTAATAATCCTGTTCACATTTCCATAAGCCTTTATAATGAAATCCAAATTTTCAGTTAGGAACCGGGTTTTACACGACATGGTTCGTCTCCTGGAAAATGTAGTCCATTTTGTTTCTAGTGTAATATTTTCAGATTATCGTTGTCACAGAACATGAAGGTATGACAAAAAGTCTGGTCACTTTTGTCGAACAGTTTAAAAATTCCAGTATTATTATGCAGTTGGATCCTGCCAAACTCATGGAAGAACAGTTTATTGCAGGATTTTGTCGACGAGGTATGTTGAATCTAAAAAGAAGTAATATTAATGGTATTAAAAATATTCATCAGTTAATGTGATTTTTCTTCTCGATTTGCAAGATATGGAAAGTCATAGTATGGTGCATATAGTTTTGTGCTGTGGAATGCATTGCATGTTGTAATTGCTGACACAACTATGTGGTTACCAGACAAGGCTAATCTAACTAGTTTCAACCATTTTATAAAGTAAACTCCTTTTAAAGCGAAAAGATAGTGTTGAAACACACAAGTTAAGATTTAACGTAAGCTACTGGAGTTTTTCTCTAATAACCATAGACGAATTTGTAATTATTGGAGTTCTTTCTCATTTTAGTAGTGTCTGTTGGCTTGTGACTCAGCATTATAGCTTTCATCAAGTTCTATTCGATACTCACATAAATCTTTACATATTGATCGTATTTGTGCCATCCCCCATTTTACTAGTACCCGGTAACAAATATATCATTAGTTATTTTAACTCTGCGAAACTTGGTATTATCACCATATATCATAATATCACCATGGTTCCTATAACGTAAGTTGGTGCTTCATTTTCGGAAATGCTCTTCAACTAATGTCGTGCTCATTACTTTTGATCCGCGTTTGTAACATTCGAGTTCCATGCAAAATATGCTGCATTATCTGCATATATTTGAAGGTATTCGTTTTATAGCGTCTCTATTATTTAAGAAACCAGTAATGAATACTGATTGAGGTGGTCAGTTACTTACGGGTGTATTGACTCAATAAACCGATCCATTTTGGAGGCCCAAATAAGTTATCTCATCATCAACTGACTAAACACTACAGTCAAGATATGACTATAAGTTATTTTCGGATAACAGTCATTTAGTCAAAAATGAAAGCAAATCTCAGTGATGAGGTAGCGAATTCCCCATCAATTTCCAAGATACATTTTTTAAATATTGTTTCAGTTTATCTTCACTAACTGCATAGTTCTACACATAAATACGAAACCATTAGTCCTTTTCTTCCTCATGAAGTTCTATGACAATAAACAACTGTGAAGAATCTATGTAAATAGCGCAACTACTTGCTAAGAGGGGGTATGTAAACAGAGACTACAAAATAAAGTTTTTAAAATTCGTTGTAAACAATTAATCGTAATACAGCAGTTTCTTGAACTGTTTTGATATTTGATGAGTAGGCTGGAGATTAACTGCATATTCTTTAATCCTGTGACTAAACTATTTCTTTTAATTATCTTAACCCAGGAAATTTGTCTGTATTTATTTATTTATTTATTTGAACACATAAATATTGGTACAGGGGGCACCAAATATATATGCGCCACACAAAATAATGAGAATTTAAGAAGGGGAAAAAAGGTAAGGAACGTAGGGAATTATAAAAAAAAGAGAACGATAATGGGGGAGACGAAAAGGTACAACCAGAAGAAATCTTACAGTTAAGGAAGATACAACCACTTTTTATGAAGAAAGTAAAAGAAGGTTACAGCAGGATCTCCACTGGCTTCTATTCTGAGCTATATCTGATAACGTCTCCAGCCACTGTGTTACACCATCTCTCGGACCCCAGCCAGGGAGTCGTGAAGGACCAACACAAGCCAGCCCTTTGCAGCTTTCTTTCATACCCCGACACCATGTCATACACTGACCACCTCTCCGCTTTTTCCAACCTGTCCCAGCGTCGGCAAATAATGCACGACGGGGAATTCTCTGGGAAGACATTCGTAGAACATGTCCAAGCCACCAAAGTCGATGCTTCAAGATGGTGACACTAATTGCATTATCGTCTCTGCGCCCGAACACACGATGCCGAACCTCTGCATTACTAACATGGTGTTGCCACTGGATGTCAGCAATCCTTCGGAGACAGTGATGATCGGACACAGAGTCGTCTAACATCCTCAACTCGGAGAGGCCATGTTTCACGAGCATAGAGCAGAACTGCTCTCACCGACGCGTTGTAGGTCCGACCTTTTACTGCCAGACAAACATCACGAAGGCACCAAAGATGGCCCAGATTGGCATAAGCCACTCTGGCCTTCACTATACGTGCGTTTATCTCACCACTCACGCTACCACCAGCACTCATGCAGCTACCTAGATACACGAACTTCTCGACGACTTCTATCTGCCCACCTTCCAGAGTGAGTACAGGATTAGAATCCTGCCAGTCTTGTAGAAGTACTTTGCACTTCGAAGGTGCAAAGCACATACCTCTAACAGCACTCAAGACCACTGTATTCATAGTCAACCTCCCTCTTCAATTCCTATTATTCCTCCTACATCGACTTTATACACTAAACTTCCTCTTTTAGCTTCCTCCTCAAGTGTCACCACAGCCAACGATTCTAGTGCGCAAAACACTGTCCCAGGTCTACTGAAACCTCGCTCCAAACTATACATTGGAGCCTTCAACGTACGCACACTATGCCAAATCGGTCAGCAGGCTTCCTTGGCTAAAACCTTAGAATCTCGTACCATTGATGTATGCTGTGTCTCCGAAACACACATACAGGATCCTAGTGTGGTCATTCACTTGACTGGCAGGTGTAGGCATAGCACTTAGCATGAGGGCGGAACAAGCGCTATTAGAGTGGATCCCCGTAAACAGTCGTCTATGCGCTGTTCGGCTAAACGGCTCGGTAAGAACTCGGAAGGATAGGGACACACGTCGTTGCCTTTTCGTCGTTTCTGCTTACGCTCCCACTGACTGCAGTACGGATGAAGTGAAAGATGAATTTTACAGAAAGCTGTCTGAACTTCTTCAGAAAGCTAAACGTTCAGACATAGTACTCGTAGGAGGTGACTTTAATGCCCAGGTAGGTAGCTTAAACCAAACAGAAAGACATTTAGGTGGGTATTTCAGTATTCCGGCACAGCGAACAGATAATGGTGATCGTCTGCTGCAACTGTGCTCAGACAATCGTTTATTTTTAGCAGACACAAATTTTAAGCATAAGGAGAGACATCGTCTAACATGGCGACCCCCTGCACCAAACCAACGATGGACTCAAATAGACCATATTGTCATCAGTCATCGTTGGAGAGGGTCGATAGAAGATTGTCGCTCATTCTGAAATAGCTGCTTGGACTCCGACCATGCACTAATACGAGCATGCATTTGCTTGCGCCTCACTGGACGCAGGAAAGTCACATTAAAAAGACCCATTAGAACTGAACTGAGTAACGAGAAAACCAGAAGTAGGTTCCAGGAACAACTGAGGTCACACTTAGGTAGTTCTGAAAACGAGGCTGACCCCAATGTTGATTAGAAAGACATACAAGCAGCTGTGGAAACAGCAGTGACATCTGTTTGTGATTTGAAACAAAGGGTTACAAAGAACCAATGGATTTCTTCAAGGTCTATTGCACTGATAGATTCTCGCAAACTCATCCCATCAGGTTCTGAACACGATGAAGAGCGTAAAGAAATCAGATCTAGGTTAAGCATAAGTTTAAGGAACGACCGTGAGCAGTGGTGGGCAACGAAAGCAAGAAAGATGGAAAAGGCGGCGGCTATAGGGAACACAAGACAACTCTACAGACTAATAAAAGAAACTGGAATTAATAAGTCAAGTGTAAGTCAGACTATTTCGGAATAAAACGACACTCATCTGCTCCCAGTCCAGATGCTTAGAACGATGGGCGGAACACTTTAAGGAGCAGTTTAGCTGGCCTTCAGCTACTCTACAACTACCCTCCATTCCCAGACAGTGTGAATGGAACATTGAAGTAGGTCCCCCATCTCTAACTGAAGTTCAAAAGGCTATAGTTAATCTGAAACGAGGAAGGGCATCTTGTCCAGATGGATTGGCCTCAGAGGTCTTTAAAGATGGTGGTCTAGTTTTAGCGACTAGGTTGACTAATATTTTAGCTAAAATTTGGGAGTTAGACGTTATCCTATCTAACTGGTCACAATCACTTATCGTCCCAATATATAAGAAAGGGTCAAAATCATCCTGTGACAACCACAGAGGGATTAGTTTGACGAATATAGTATCTAAAATACTAGCCTCGATAATTATCGGACGCCCAACTAAGACTCGTGAACTGCAAACACGAGAGAATCAAGCTGGCTTCAGACCTGGTCGTGGCTGCATCGACCACATATTCACCATTCGTCAGGTTCTAGAACACAGGCATACTTTTCGGCGTCCGACAATAATGGTCTTCCTTGACTTAAAAGCAGCGTTTGACTCTGTTGACCGAGAGGTTCTGTGGCAGTGTCTGTCATTGAAAGGCGTACCTCAGAAGTACATAAACCTTGTAAAGGCTCTTTACTCGAACACTACTAGTCGAGTCAGAGCTTATGGCGAAATGTCATCTGCTTTTGCAACCTCAAGTGGTGTCCGTCAAGGCTGTCCACTTTCTCCATTTTTTTAAACTTCATCATAGACCCACTGATGGAAATAACGCTCTCATCGACTGAATTCTCGGGTATTGATCTCCTACCAGGAGGTCCACTTATTGACTTAGAATACGCAGATGACATAGTCCTGTTTGGTGAAGACGCTGATGAAATGCAGAGTCTTTTGGTAGCACTGAGCAACAATGCTAGAATGTTTGGGATGCGCTTTTCTCCCTGTAAATGCAAGTTGTTGCTTCAGGACTGGTCTGCGTCAACACCTGAACTAAGGATAGGGAGTGAAGTAGTCGAACGCGTTGACAACTTCACTTATCTTGGAAGTCTGATCAGCCCTAATGGGTTGGTGTCTGACGAAATCTCAACACAGATTCAAAAAGTTCGTTTGGCTTTTGCCAACTTACGTCATCTTTGGCGCAGACGATATGTCCGTCTATCAATTAAGGGACGAGTATACTGCGCGGCAGTTCGTTCCGTTCTACTATACGGCTGCGAAACATGGCCTTTGAGAGTAGAAGATATTCGTAAGTTACTAGTATTTGACCACAGATGCCTTAGAAATATTGCGGGTATCTGCTGGGATCACCCGGTAAGTAATAGTGAGGTTAGGCGCAGGGTATTAGGGAATGATGGTAAATCAGTTGATGAGGTTATGAATCTTGATCGACTGAGATGGTTGGGCCACGTTCTGCGTATGCCTAAACACCGATTACCACGACGCGCAATGATAAACGGTGTTGGAGACGGTTGGAAGAAAGTTAGGGGCGGCCAAACCAAAACGTGGCATCAGTGCTTGAAGTCACTAACTTCTGGTCTGAGCCATGTTGGTAGATGCAGACTGCCTGGTTGGGGTCCGCGTGACTATCGTAACCAATGGTTGGAGACTCTTGGTGACATGGCTCAGAATCGATCACAATGGCGTCGGTGTATACCCTCTGTCTTCCTTTAAATTAAGAGATTAAAATCGCTTCATATCTTTCTAGGAACTAATTCTTTCTTCCTGTACTATCTCCTTATACACAAACTTTCTTCTATATATTACCACAACTGAATTAACTACTCCTATGAATCCGGTGTTCATCTTGTTGTGCTAATGCGGTATGGCAACTTGGACCGATGCATATACGTTCCTGGTCCTACGTTGCAGCTGACTGACTGACATACCATACCTACGGACATTGATTGCCAACTGATTAAGTGCGGATTGCATAGCTTGGGCATTCTCGCACAGTAAGACAATATCATCCGCATACTCAAGGTCGAGAAGTCTTTCTCCATGTAACAGATCCACACCGCCATTATTTACATCCATCAGAGCTGTTTCCAGAATGTCATCGATGGCAAGGCTGAAGAGGAATGGTGAGATTGGGCAACCCTGTCTAACCCCAATGCTTGAATAGAACAATGGAGAAAGGTGGTTGTATGCCCTCACTCTGCCTGAGGTGTTTGTGTATAGGGCTTTTAGGATGTTAATAAACTTCTCAAGCACACCCTTCTTCAATAGACAATCCCAGAGAACAGTTCTGTCCAACGAATCGAAGGCGGCCCTGATATCAAGAAACACTACGATTGTTGGCCTTTGATAAGTATGACGGTGTTCTAACATTAGGCGGAGGGTGAAGATATGATCAATACATCCTCGACCGGAACGAAAACCAGCCTGCTCCTCGCGAGTCAATCTTTCTCGGGTTTTGAATAACCTACGAGGTATGACGGAAGCCAATAGCTTGGACGCGATCGGAAGTAGACTTATCCCCCGATAGTTGTTACAGGAATGACGTGAACCCTTTTTAAAGATAGGGACAACTATCGACTCATTCCATGACGTTGGTGCACTGTCTAGTTCCCAGACCTTTGCAAACAACGTCATCAGTCCCTTAGTCAGAAAGTCACCACCATCTTTAAAAAGAGCCGGAGGTAAGTCGTCTGGGCCCAGTGATTTGTAACGTTTGAAGAGTTGGAGTTCCTTGCGGACTTCCGCCTCATTTGGTGGATCAGTCGTCACCGGCCATGGAGGGCAGGACAGTCTGACCGATGTTGCTGGAGCAGCAGGCCAGTTGAACTGCCCTTCGAAAAATTCTGCCCATCGTCCAAGACGTCGATGGATGTTAGTGATTGGCGTTCCGTCATCCTCGCAGATTGTTTTGCTCACACCAGACTTCTTGCCTCCAGTGGCTCGGATGAGTTGGAAGAGCTTCCGGCAGTTACCAGATGCAGCTGCTGCTTCCAGCTCATTAGCACGCTCCGACCACCAGGCTTCTCGGTCCTTACGCAAGCTTTGCCCGATTTCATTACGTACCATCCTTCGTCTGTGGTCAAACTCACGGTCACCCAGAGTAGACCAACGGGCTTCAATGAGTTGTAAGGAACCAGAGGAAACCCAGTGCTTATAAGCGTGACGTTTCGCGAACCCACAACTGACTTTACCCGCCATTTTCATGGCGTCATGCAATTGCAACCAATGCTCATCTATACTTTTCGGTGGGATGGTAGCTAGCCTGGAAGCTACCTCGGTTCGATACTTAGTTGCAACAGGAGTTGCAACCAGCTTGCTAACGTCAATCCTTTGGTGGCGGTCACTTCGTTGTCCACTGAAAAGTAAGGTCAGATTGGCGCAGACCAGGGCATGATCAGAATCCAGATATGTACTCCAAAAGGAGCGGCAGTCTTGTACACAACCACGCCAGCGGTAGCTGATCGCGATGTGATCAATCTGAGTCCCGGCTTGGGATGCAGAAGGGGGACGCCAGGTGACACATCGGCGATGACTGTGCCAAAAGTTATTGCTAGCCGGAAACAGGTTGTAGTCTGTGCACAGTTGCAGTAGACGGTACCCGTTATCTGTCCTGCGACCAACAAGTCCCCATCGGTCACCTAAACGACTCTCTTCAGTGCCTAGACGCCCGACCTGAGCATTCAAGTCTCCAACTAGTACTACAATATCTGTCGAACGCACTTTCTGGGGAAGAACAGTTAACTACTGTTAGAATTCATTCTTGATTGCATCCGGGCTGCAATCTGTCGGGGCATAGGCGGAGATGACGAAAAGTCATCGTTTCTCACGCCTATTTCTTCTCACTTTGATGGAACTTTCTAATCTAACATCACATAACCGACTGTTAATGGCGATCCAATAGATTAGTGCTGCCTCAGCTCTAGCGCTTAGTGCGACACCAACGCCAGCAAGACCAGACGAAGATGCCACAGGGTCCCCGGATAAACGCACATAAAACAAGCTTTTTGAAGTAACAGATGATGAGCGAATTTGTAGTACTTTTTGTCTGTATAATACAAGTTTTATGTTCACTTTAGGATATTTTACTATCCTGTGATATCCTTCTAATGTTATATTTTAGGAGTTGTTACAGTTCTGCCCATAAAAACATTACCAGAGTTTGATCTTTCTATTCAAAAGTGTAAGTTTTTTCTTATCTCTTATTTAATTTATTGACCACCTTTTTCTGATCAGTGGTTATATATAACTCTGTATAATTTACTCTCCACATAGTAATCAAATAGTAAAAAGATCACGTACAATAGATTGAAAGACCGAATGGCAAATAATACTTTTTCAAGAAAAAATGAGTGTTTTTATTCATTAGTTTAAAAGATAATCCTATGACATTATAAACGACAGGTTTTAAATTTAAGTCATAGTAAGAAAGTCAGCCGTTACCGTATTTTTAGTTCATTTAGTTGATGAGCGTCGGATAATTAAAGATGCGCTTTTTAGGTTTAAATGCTTGTTACTATCCAGTACAATAATTAGTCAAGTTTTAGGTTCCTAATGAAAAAAAATCACCATTAACATGGAAAATACAGAACATTCACAAATTCTATAATAAGGAAATCTGACTGATTAAGACTGTAGAGGAATAAGTAAAAGGCTACTCATGAATTCAACTCCAAAATAGGGTGTATGAGGTGTTAAATCCATTAAAACTCTGACCACTTCTTCACTTTATTTTGTTATAACTACCCACTAAGTGTTTCCAGTACATGAAGATTTGCTTCTAAACTGAGTATACTAATCAATGAAGCGGTTTTAGTCCGACTCCAGGAACTTCTGCAGTCGTTTTGACAGTATATTCTAAATGTTAGTATGTAATTCACAGTTTTATCCTCGATTCCATGTATTGCTGTAAGAAACAACAGCCAAATGCAAAATACATGAATCTACAAGTAATTTAGTGTATCTGTGGCAAATTGGACCGATGCATGTATGTGTCTGGTCCTACGTTGTAACTAACTGACTGTCTTCAAACCGTTGTCTACCAACCTTCATTAAACGATTGTTAGGCATGTCATGTGTATCTAGCTCTGAGTACAATGAAATAATTCTTGATTCACGAGTATCTCTTAAGCCAACGATAACCAAAATTGTAATGAAAAGCTAATACATTTCACCAGGAATTTTATTTTGTACTCGCATATGAAACGTGACTTAAATCAAGTGCACATGCAAACCAATTAGCTGAATGCATATTCTTGATTGTTCATAATGTATAGAAACTAAAAATTTAGTTATTAAAATCCCGAAAATCCATTTAGCAAAGAGAACTGCTACCCGGTAATATATAAGGCTATGAGATAAGGTAAGTGTATCAAAGTAGACAACATAAGTTTCATACTTACATGGTATTATCTATCATTTGTAAAAAAAGTTCGGTAACTAATTGTGTCCTCATAAAGGCTAAATACTTCTATCGAAATCATAAGAAAGTACACGGCTGCTATGTCTTTTCAAAAAATGTTAGCTCATGATCGGTATATTTCTAAAGCCTTAGTTCGCAGATAGGTCAAACAATGGCACACTTTTGCGGAGCTGCTTCTTGTATATATCTGATAAAATCTATTATATGTTCGGTGTATGCTGCTTGTATCGACAGACATAATTCGCTGGAGCGCAGGTGTTGAACGTGGACATCGGATTTTGATGGCCCGGCAGGTCGCCAGAGCTACGAAGGTCAGCGTACCGCAGAATCAACATTTTGACAGGGAGCGTGGCACCAACAATGGAAGAGATTAACATGGTCATCCGACAAGTCAAGAGCGGAAAATCAGTAGGACCAGACAACATTCCAGCAGAGGCACTGAAAGCAGATGTAGCAGTAACTGCAAGGATACTCCGCATTCTCTTCAGAAAGGTTTGGGATGGAGATCACGTACCAACAGACTGGAAAGAAAGATACCTCATGAAGATACCAAAGAAAGGCGATCTCAGCAAGTGTGATAATTGCAGGGACATCACTATTCTCTCAATACCAGGAAAAGTTTCCAACAGGGTATTGTTAAATTGAATGAAGGACTCCGTAGACGCCCAACTTCAAGACCAACAGGCTGGATTCCGTAAGGATCGATCGTGTACAGACCTAATCGCAACACTACGGATCACTATGGAACAATCAATCAAATGGAATTTATCACTCTACACCAACTTTATTGACTACGAGAAAGCAATAGTCAATATCATACGGAATTCGTATGGTGGATTAAACTGCAAAATCGTGCATGGAGGACAGTTGACGGACTCGTTTGAGGTAAAGACCGGTGTCAGGCAAGGTTTCTTACTCTCACTCCTCTTTCTCCTGGTGATCGACTGGATTATGAAGACTTCAACATCTGAGGGGAAGCATGGGATACAGTGGACAGCTAGGATGCAGCCGGACGACCTAGACTTCTCAGGTGATCTGGCTCTTCTATCGCACACACAACACCAAATGCAGGAGAAGACGACTAGTGTAGCAGCAGCCTCAGCAGCAGTAGGTCTCAATATACACAATGGGAAAAGCAAGACTCCGATACAACACAGCATGCAACAATCGAATCACACTTGACGGAGAAGATTTGGAAGATGTAAAAACCTTTACATATTTGGGCAGCATCGTTGATGAACACGGTGGATCTGATGCAGATGTGAAGGCGTGGATCGGCAAAGCAAGAGCAGCATATTTACAACTGAAGAACATCTGGAACTCAAAACAACTGTCTGTCAACCAATACCAAGGTCAGAATTTTCAATACAAATGTCAAAACAGTTCTAGTGTATGGGGCCGAAACCTGGAAAACTACGAAAGCCATAATCCAGAAGATACAAGTTTTTATTAACAGCTGCCTACGCAAATTACTTTGGATCCGTTGGCCAGACGGGAGGGAACAAACCAGATCCTAGAGGAGGGGGAGTCAGGAAGAAGTACTGTAAGTAGATAGAACACTGTGAAAAGCACCGAACTGCGTCACGAGACAGGCCCTCACGTGGAATCCTCAAGGTCGAAGGGGGAGAGGAAGACCAGAGAACACATTACACCGAGAAATGGAGAAAGACGTGAGAGAAATGAACAAAAATTGGACAGAACTGAAAAGGAAGGCCCAGGACAGAGTGGGTTGGAGAATGCTGGTCGGCGGCCTATGCTCCATTGGGAGTAACAGGCGTAAGTAAGTGACACAAGCTAGTAAAGAAGAAGATGGTACGGCATGCAGAACGACCGTTTTAAATGGGGCTAGTGTGATGTATGCTACTTATGTCTGTCGATATAAGCAGTATGTAACACCAATCGGAAGTGGAAAATCTAACAACAGAAGGTTAAGAAGATTGTGTTGAGGAGAATAAAAAGGAATCGTGGACTTGAAGAATCATACATATTGTGAAGGACAATCGATGGAAATTTCTAAATGAAGTATTCAGTGTATGGTTTTCATGTCTTACCAAGAGATTCTGTAATTTTGTATTTAAATGAAATCGGTTACTCCCACCTGTGTTCTTCTTCACTACATATGTGTGTTCTTCAGTGGTCATTATTATTACTATTTCATATTATGAAAGTTAACTGTATATCTGACCAGTTTATTTAGAGATTGGTTTTATTATTCTGAAAGCTATAGTCTCATCAAATTCTTCCTTTTTAAAAATACTTCGCAGAGACCTTGTTTTTACTTATTCAAACATCGAAGAAAAAACTAACACTAACCTTTTCTACTCAATTGTTATACAGGCAAATTACTCTTGTTTTGTGATTCATTATAATACTTATAGCTATTTTAACTCTGGACATGTCTCCAGTTGTGTACTCTGGTTTTGGATTGTCCGCCAAAAAAGTTAAACAAGAAAAGAAGAAATTTTTCTATCGTGAGTTCTTTCGCTATTTCCTGGTCATATTTCCGCATCACTGACGAAGTTTCTTACACATTCTATACTAAGTAATTCATCTTTATTTGCCTATCTAAGTAGATTTCCATAGAAACTATAGTTTTACGTAGTTTTCGCCAGTTCAGTAATTTGGGTCTCAATCCCTCTACTACGATTTATGCAACCGGAGACCAGTGTTTTTATTTATTTCTTCATTTAGTATAACAATACAATGTACCTGATCAGTTTATTATACGTAACACTGCACTAGATTAAAATCAACACTTAAAAGCAGGTAAATAACTACAAAAAATAGCGATAAGTGTTTAAAATATGTTAGTGACCTTTTTTAAACTGGAAGCTCAAATAAGTAAACGTTCGTTTTTTAACGCAATAGTCCATCAAATCCCCGGTACGGTCGAGGGTGGGGAGAGCCCACTCACTCGAAATGCTCTCATATAACTACGTGTCGATGACCATTTTCTTCTCGCGGCGGTGTTTACGAAATTGAAAGGACAAAAAGCAAACGTCCAGCACCTAAATAGGGTTGGTGGTTACAGAGCATCCATTTGGGGGGAGTTAGAAAACCCTGATTCCAAACTAATGGTTGCCCCACTGCCTTGACGATTAGATCTCTGAGTCAAAGGCTCAGAGAGTGACCTAAAAAAACCACCCGTTTGGGTTTTGCAAGCCGGACAGTATTTTAGCCCATACACAAAGTGGATGATAGCTACTTTGTATGGCGCACATATATTCTGGTGCCCCTTTGTACTGATGTTTATGTGTCTGAACAATAAGATGAAAAATCTCCATGTAGCACAAACGTGTAATCAATAGTGTTATCCATTATTATCATATTTTGATCGGTTCCTTTTGAATCATCCGTCAATTTTATTCCTTAAATTAAAGGTATTAGTTATTAGGGCATCCATAAGGCTTTAGCAATCTCAAGTGACATATGTTCACATACTCAACTAACACTCAGTTCAACTTTGTGATATATTATCATTTTGTCAATTAGTTTTCTTAACTCTTCATATGTTCAAAAACTTTAGTGTAGATATACCTCAGAATTTTATTTAACTGATTTACTTACTCGTATAGGTTATACACATCTCTAAATCCAATCTAAATAATTTGACTAGCTCACATACTGTATTTTCAAATAGTCTCGGCCTTAGTGTTAGGGAATTGTAGCAATCCTGTTATAAAAGTTATGGTCGGAACATTTAAAAAAAGTGTTCAAAGTAACTAACACGTCCATCTTTTACTCGTTTTAATTCAATAAAATACGTACCATCTTTTTCCTCGTATACTTTTCTAAAATATAACTGAAACGTAACCCAAACATAATTACTAACCTGTTTTCAAACTTTCTAATCTCTTCTATCATTCTTTTGTTCAGGATTTCAAGTTGATTTAAAAAGTTCACAGTTTCAGCGAAATGGACCAGTACATACACGTCTTCGATCATTTTTCAAGGCTTTCACTAACCCTCTAGAATTGGGCACTCGTATCCCTCGATGCCTTGGAAATCTTGGTCCTTTCTTTGTTGATTGGTTACCAGATTCCTCAGTTACACAAATAAATGAATTCCCTAAAAGTGAATCCATTGCTTCATATTTAAATGACAAAGAACATCTGGTGGTACGTTTTATAGAACGGTATATTCATAAATCTTCATTGAAAAGTATTGTTTACCCATATACTTTTCAGGCTTACAAATTTGCAGAAAATATGTCTATATTAACTTAAAGTGTTGACTAAAGTGCACATGTAGTTTATGTTTTGCAGTGAGACTTTCCTCCGCGCAAGTAATCGAAGATTGTATTGAAATGGTTTTCGCAACGTTAGTAAGGTGCTGAGTATTTGTTCTCATTATCCTTCATTCTACATACGGCTACATTAGCGTAATCTCTAAGTTCTTTAAGTATTTTCAGTGCATTACAATTTGTATCATATAATAGTGGGTCAATGACTTGCTGACCAATGGATACAAATTTCAATCATTCAGTTTGAAGTTTAAACTCCTCTCCAACTACCCCGATCATTTCATTTGGATAAAACCACTAGCCTCCATTCACATAAAACTTGGATAAATAGCATTGAAGTTGTAGAAATATGATAGACAAACTAAATGTGTTTGCAATACATTTGAATAATTTACTGATTCAATCATGGTACTGGTGTTCCTAACATACTTTTGTAATCTTGCTCGGTTGTTACAATATATCAGTAAGATAATTTCTTTCAGTTAATCCTTACAAATCCACCAGATGTGCTTAATTGTTGTAACTTATTTCTGTTCTGTGAATAGTTTATATTTATAAAAGCTTAGTACAATGTTAGTATTGTCTATTGATTTATGTATATCCAAATCATTATCAGCTACATATAGATTTATATTTATGAACGAGCTAGAAAACTGGATAATTACTGTTACTTGATAGTTCCATACCAAATTATGTTACAAAGTAGACTTTCTCCAACAGATCCTCTACTTTTATTGCATTTTATACACTCTGTAGTCAGCATTTCATTTATAGTAATATTTCTTATTTAGTGTTTAGCCCTCCAGTTGTTTAATAAACGATTTTAAGTCCTTTATTTTTCTGATGCTGAGAAATCTAAGTACTTTCGTTGGTGTTTTTTTTATCCCTCTATACATATGCTTGATAGCTTTTAAGAATTCACTCTTATGTCCAGTCCCACGATGCCTTCTCGTGGCAGGGGTGTTGTTTACGAGAATGAGAGGACGAAAAGCGAATGTCCGGCGCTTTAACCGGATCCCAAATCAATGGTGTGTACATGGGCTCCAGTATCCTGACGGAACAAATGGCGTATGAACCAATCGTTGGTCACCGGCTACCGTGGGACTGCATCTCCTCACGATGCTCCACTACTTTGTTGATCGGATCTTCAGGTCAAGGGCTCGGGGTGTGGCCCCCTAAGAAAACCACCTGCTTCGGTTTGAGCACCCGGGCAGTATCACAGCCCCCACACATATCCAATGAGATCTGTGTGGCGCATATGTATTTGGTGCCTTCTTGTACCGATATCTATGTGTTAAAATAAATAAATAAATAACACTCGACTCAAAATTATGAGTGCCAGTGACTATTATGGCTTTTCAGGATTACTATTCAACTGTAGTTTAATGGTTGATAACTATCTTCTGAAAACTAACTAAATAGTTTCGTACGCTAATATTGAATTAACTTTAATAAATTCATTCAAAGAAGATATTTTATTATTTCAACTATAAGATAACCCTAAGATACAGAGGTTATACTATTAAACCATCAAGTTGCATTGTTTTCGTGAGAAAAAGTGGAAAGAATGTTGTTCTAATCGGCATCGTTTTTCTGTTATTATTTTTCCCCAATAAAGATCCGACCACAATGTGAGGTGTTTAACTACAGTGGATCACCTATACTAATACCAGAATTAATTTCATGGAACAAACTGCCTCTAAAACAAGAAGAAAAATCATGCACATTCACAGAAACAGAAAAAACGTCAGATTTTTTAAATATTGTAAATATTCGCTTAGGATTAACAGTTTTATCTTATTTAGCAGCTGGAATTTCATTTCCTGATTCAGCTATTTCAAATCGTGTTCCAAGGTGAGAAATTATCATTAAACGTTTTGAAAATGTTAGAAAGATTCCAAAAAAAGCTTCACTTAAATAATGATAATAGAAAAAAAAGAGTAGTCAATGTGTTCCATGTATAAATGCACTTGATTGTAAGCTCTAAATCTAAATTCTGTGAACGTTGGGACGCAAAAAGTGTATTCCTTAGCACACACGCACCAGTCACGTTCGTTATTATATTTCAATTCATGTGGCTCGTTTTTACAATCGTATGGTCTGCCAGCGACATAACAGTTTCTTCAGTGATTGAAGGGAATCAATGGATTACCTCGAATTTATGTTCAGTACAATATTTAGGGATCTGGCACTCCTTGTGAAACTCAAACTTGTGTCAGGCTCTAATGCAGCCAATAGGGTTACTACTGTGTTATTCAGACAGCAGCCGACTCCGTAAGATTCTGATTACTATGAAGGCAGTAAGCTCTATAAAGAGTTAAATTTGCCGTAGTTACCTCTAAAACATTACCTTTTATTTAGTCACTTTATATACCATAGTGTAACTATACTGATATTGGTAATAATAATAATCCTATTGGTTGTCTAGTTTTATTACTAAGATCTAAATTATTTCCACTACCAGTTCAACTAGTATTGTCTGACAGGTAGTGCATCTTTCGATGCTTTGCTCCCAACTCCATGTTCGGACATTATTCGTCCGAAAGTTCCATTCAATCTGACGGTGAGTAACACCTTTGCAAGTTATTGTCTTTTGCTGGGGATGTATTTTTGAAATATGTGACAATAACGATTCACTCAGTCGGTAGTTACCGTAAGCTTACACGTACGAAAATACCATTACATTCTAAAAATAAATCACTTTTCGCCTATATATGGGTACTACCTAACTTCTGACACCATTGTGCTACAGCTCTGACATTAATGATTACCTTTCATTTTTTAATTAGTATTTCAATGTTCCAAAATTAAAATCACTACCAATTTATTTATACTAAATATGTTCATCAACATTGTAAACTATTTTCTCCCATTTATAATTTTTTTTTTTTAGTGATAATCCATGCCTAACCAATGCAAGTCTGTCACCAATTTATACACAAACTATAGATGAAATTCTCTTACCTGTCTATAAGCTGGAAAAACTGAACATTATATATCTATCAGGTTTATTTCCGGATTGTTGTTACGATGAACTGGAGGATAAAATAAAGTATGACTATCAGTATTGTAACTCAGTTATGCTAAAAACGTTTACATCCATATACTTAGGATCTAGGAAGTGAATTATAAGTTATGGAACATTAATTTGTTCCGGAAGCTAAATTTAATCATACTTTGAATCCAAATACTTTTCGTGAGATTAAAAATAATGTGATTTTTATTGCATTATGGAACAAAACATGCTAGAACTTTGAGTTCCATACCAATTCATAGTCAGTGTGAATAAGAAGATGCTTTCTTTGTTTATTTGTATTGTCAAGCTACTTAAAGTCTAACCAGTAGCCGTAAATACGAATATATCTTAGTTTTCCAATTATCATGGTCTGTGCGAACACCAATAGTGAAGATTCGAACTGTGCCTAACCTGCACCCAGAAGGTTATACGCAGTTGATTCTTTACCACTGTCATGACTTTTGAGATGCAAATTCTTTGGAATATAGTCAGTAAACCATTTAGATGCCTGTCTTTCCAATGTACACGGTTTTGTGCGAACATGTAAAATCACAAACTGATCTAAGTTAAGCAACCATTGAAAAGCTGAAAACACTGGACGGCCATTTCTCTCCGGTATGGAACTCCTCAGTGTTGCCCATCCACGATCCACAACCAGAAATCGAAACCAGGACATTGAGTTTCATGGGCAAACCCTTAATGCCTATGGTACTAATTGTGTACAAATCTAACTTAAATCAATTAACAATATTGCGCGACCATCTTCCATTGTCTTTAGTGGATATCTTTCTCACATCCAACACTTTAATTTCACCGGTCACAGCCGTCCAGCACTTCTAGATTTTCATTGGTTGGTTTTCAGTGGTTTCGATAGAATTCAACTATCTCAACAGTTTTATACTAAAAATCATTATCATATTATTGATCCTCATGTTATTTAGCGTGGAACTGGCTTCTCTGATGTGTGGCACTTTCCGTTTTTTGATCAGTTCTTGTAACTTTCTAAATGAAATTTGTATTTCTACATATCTATTACATTTATTATCTTAAATTTCCGTTTATAGATCAATGTTAGCAGAAAGTCAACGTGGGAATGAATTAGTTTACATGCGCAGATGTCCACTAAAAGTTACCACCGATTTAGTACAATCATTAAAACAGTCTGTTGATTACTTAGGAACTCTATTTTTAACTGGTAGAAAACCTGTTTCAGATTCACAAGGACCACCACTTATTAAAATTCAATTTTAACATTTTATTTTTCCATTTGCATGTACATTTTTGACGTTATTGGTAATATATATTCTTAAATTATATCTTAATCCTTTTGTCGTCCTTATATTTGGGATAATATTTGTAGCAGTAATAATAATGTGTAAATATGTTTTGCCTAGCACAAATGTTCGTAAGCACTAGTTACACCAAATGAGCAAAACATAAATTTAACAAAATGAGTAGCGAACGAGTCAAGATAGTGTAGTAACAATGATAATAAAAAGGATTAGGCATTGAGAATATAGAAAAACAAATACTTAAACTCAAGATATAGAAGAAAATAAGCTGTTCATTTATCCACGTCACTGAGACATGTCACACAAAGTCTCCAATCAGTTATCACGCGGACCCCAACCAGGTAATATTCACCTATCAAAATGGCTCTACGAGCAATTAGTTCCTTCATGAATTAATGTTGCATCTTGGCCCAGACGATCTTAGCTTTCTTTCAACTTGCATCACTCAACGCTGCCCGTTAATGTAGACACTAGTTGAGCATAAGTAATGCGCATCCTAGCCACTGTCCATAAAAATCCTCAAACGGCTTTCTGTCTTTGTTTAGTGTCCGATACCCAACCCCATCACCGCTCACTCGGTGGTTCCACGATACGTGTCCAGTGCTTCGGAGGTACCTATAGTCACAAACCCTAATGCTCCGTTTTTAAAGGCTGTGTTTCATAGGGTAATAAAGAGCTAACTGTTGTAAAACACCGAATGAACACAAATATTGGTACTAGAGGGCACCAAATATATATGCGCCACACAAAATTTTATTTGTGTGTGGGCTGTGATACTGCCCGGGTGCCCAGACCAGAGCAGGTGGTTCTCTTAGGGGGCCACACCCCGAGCCCTTGACCTAAAGGTCTAACCCACAAGGCAGTGGAGCATCATGAGGAGATGCAGTCCCACGGTAGCCCGTGACCAACGATTGGTTCATACGCCATTTGTTCCGTCAGGATACTGGAGCCCATGTGCATCATTGATTTGGAATCCGGTTAAAGCGCCGGACATTCGCTTTTCGTCCTCTCATTTTCGTAAACAACACCCCCGCCACGAGAAGGCAGTGAGTAGGACTTCCCTGGCAGATGCTGTATACGCGTGGCCTTGTGAGAGCATTTCGAGAGGGAGGACAGGCCCACTTCACTCTCGGCCATACCACGGCATTTTCCTATCGTATGTATAGAAGCACATCAAATACTGTAGGGTTGCGTAAAATGAATCACATTCTATTGTTCTGCAATAAAAATTTCAAACTGTGCAATAGAGACAAATGAGAATGAGTGAAATATTTCAGTCATGATGTTCATTTTCACAGTTGAAATCACGGGTCGATCTAATCTAGACCACCAATAGAATCACTGGACGGTCGTTTCGTCCTAGTATAGGACTCATCAGTAGTGCCCACTCATGACCTCGCAAGCGGAACTTGAAACAGCCGTCCAGTGCTGCAAGGTTTTTAATTGTGGTTTAGCTTAAATTGACTCGTGATTTCAATTTTGGAAATACTACGACCACAAGTCCACCATACCAATAATAATGTCCATTTATTAATTGTTTTATTAACATACCTCAAGACACAAGTGTGTTTTTTCGGATACCCTCACATAGAAATGAGGCATATTTTAAAAATAATTTACAACATCAAACAAATTTGATACAGAAGAGCGGAGAATCATTCCAATTCAGTAAGAATATTTTTATTGTCACTGGTCATTCACATTTCATAAGAAAGAATATTAACGAATGCAACATATAGTTATGTATACAATCCGTATTTTAACAATGATATATATTGTTTCTTATATAATTAGTTATAAACCGAAAGTTGTTATGGCCTTATATTCGCTTAGAACAAACACCTGCGCAAGTTAATACTTGTTCGAACAGGTATAAAACAACGCTTATGTAACATTCAATTGTGGATAACGCAATAAGAAGACGAATGTTATCAGAATTATGCGATATATTAGACTTGCAGGCAATATCGAGGCGATCGGCACAGGAAACACGTATGCCAAAAGAGCCTGATCAGTTGCAGCACAACAAGGACAAGCTGGGATCAAGAACATTTAGAGTCAGGTTGAATTAATTTGGTATTCAATAAAGCGACCCCAAAAAGATGAACAGTTAGTTAGAACGATCAGTTATCAAATTTAAATGATATATTTTCTAAGGAGTTTGACAGTAATGATACACGCTAACCGATTGATTGTAATCTTAATTTTCTATAATAAAAATTAAAATCTGATTAACTGACAAGGGATGAGAACGATAGAACATTAAAAAATAGTTTCAAGTCTATTTTTGTAATTATTTATTTTTATCGTAATGGAGACATATAAAGTACTAACAAATTTAGTGCCGTATATGTGAGTCGACTTAATAACCTTTTCAGTAACTCAAGTAAAATATGTTCTATCTCATGGTAATGAACATGAAAATATATAAAAACAAAGGAAGAAGACAAATAAATTACAAGTGATACTTCAGTAGTTTGATTTGGACAGAGGTTCTAATAAGACCGTTATAATATGAGTTAATTGTTATCTAACAACACAATACTGAAGAAAGAATTAAATAATAATCATATTTTATTGATCTTTTTGATGATTGGCTTGAAGTAGTCAAATTAAATGTGACTCATTCGAACTTGTTGGAGAATTTTCGACTCCAGATATACATGATGGTGTGTATATATTAGGTACTTTTATACTCTCAAGGCTAGGTTTTAGATTTTTATGATTAATTTTTTCACCAGTGACATTACGTGTTGAATACCCTTCAAGAAGCGAATTTTCAATAATTCCAACTTTTTTATCAGTAGTTATTTCTGCTGTTGGACATTTAATATTTGTTGAATTACTATGGTTCCATAATGCTTCACAATGAACACTTTGATTGCTATCAGAATTATTATTCTGTTGATGACTCGCCATATTTGATCGCTGTCCAATTGTAACTGCTGTCATTTGCATTGACCCTAATGGAGTTAATATGTGTTCACTTGACACTTGATTACCCTGTACATGGAAAAGAGCCTGTAGAACAAATAATGATAAAAATACGTTTTACACTACAAATAAATTACTACGTACTAATTTAAGTCATTATTCTTATTCTTTACAGATGACCAAGTCTTATCAAAGGACCTCGCCGAACCTAGTTGCCAGACTAGTAAAAACATGCATAAAACCCAAGGCGTTATTTTCAGCGATCTAATATATGAAGTATGCCGTTTGTAGTGATATTTTGGTTATGATAAATGTTATGCACACTCTATATAATATGCATATCTGAAAGAATTCTAAAACTATCCGAAACATTCATTACTTTAGTATCAAGTCAAGTGTTCAAATATTATTTTCCATCAAACCTTAACCATATATTTCTATCGTAACATTCATCTCGCTGTACCATAACAAAATTGTAAGACAGAGTAGTAAATGATCATACAAAGACTATTTTGCGAAAACTTATTGTTATGATACCGAAAACTCAATACTGAAGATAGAAATTAACAATAATAGCAACATAACCCATTCCTTTCAGGTTATTTTACCACATCATACATTATCTTTGTAGAACACCACAATCAGAACATTGAAACTCCAAATCCCCTAGATCACTTAATAATATTGTAGTGAACAAAGAATCCAGATCGAAATAACCAATTTGTTGTTCAGCGCAAAATTCTGAGTCCTTTCGTAAAATATGGAAATCATATATTGAATACATAATTTGCACATCTTCCATCACTCGCCTTTTACATACTTCATTCTTTTAACCTTACTGTGATTGCAATTACTCCCTGCTTCCCTGTCTGTTCTCTTCAATTAAATCTTCTCAATCTTCGGCTGGCATGCATTCCACTTCCAATAGGTGATACATGCTACTGATATCCGTCAATATAAGTAGCATACACCACACTAGTTCCCCTTTTAGTTGAAAATCACTCTTCCGGTCGTCCTACTTGCCGTGTCGCTTCCCTCCTTGTTTCAGTTTGCTCTACGCCTCCCATCGAAATGTTGGGTCAGTCGGCGTGCTGACCTCCATAGCAATGTCGACTCGCTAGGCCACTTACATCCGACGCCCGTCCAGTGACCAGACGTACAACTCCTCTCCGTCAACCAAAACGCCCTAACTAGCACCTCCTTATTTGGCCTTACTATGGGGCCTGCTTGACTTTACCCTCTCCACCTCTCCTTTGGTAGAGACAATAAATGTAAGGAACGAAGACTTCAGGTGGGAAAACCCAATTTATTGTTTGATTCACAATCACATAGTAGTGTAGTAAGATATAAAAATCATAGATCAAATATATCATTTGCACATCATTCTCCAGTTGTCTCTTACAAGCTCCATTGTTTCATCATCTCTGTTGTTAGCTTGATTGCTTTCAGTTCCCTTCACTCTTTTCTTCATTCCAATCTTCTCAACCTTCTACTCGTAGATATTCCACTTCTAACTGGTGTTTCACAATACTTATATCTACAAACATAAGTAGCATACACCACAGTTACTCTAATTATTGATTCTTCAATATTCCCTAAAGTTTAAGGCTATCAATCAAGTATTCTGTACATGATAGATATAATCAGGAAGAAATTTTCAGGTGTGGAGGAAACATTTGAATAAGTAGGAACTTTTTTCAGTGGGTAGAACAGTTCAAATTAACTTCGGCTTCATAATAGGGGTAATACGCTTCAAATATCTAAGGACATAAGTGTTTTCCTAAGCACTATTAGTGCTACAAGTGTTCTCCCACATGCCTTTCTTCATGTTTCCCAAGACCTAGTCTTACAAAACGAGTTTGAGGAAAGACAGGGCTTTCCAAATACCTGTCCACCAAATATACATGGTTTTTTACTCAATAAGAAGTGATACACTCTCTTATAAATCCACTAAAACTTGTTTTCGGTTAAAAAATAAATAGGTTAGCAACTGATGATGAAATTCATCATTGTCTATTTCATTAGTTTTAAAAACCAGTTAGATTTGTATGAAGTTTTTGTCACAGCTCATGAATAACTGAAAACTGGG